TGAAGATCCCACACCCACACCCACACCCACACCCACACCCACACCCACACCCACACCCACACCCACACCCACACCCACACCCACACCCACACCCACACCCACACCCACACTTTGTCTTTGAGAAATTTGTTATTTTAAGTGCTTGGAAATGGTGAAGTACTTGAATTTGATACACCTGATGTACTACTTACCAAACCAAATTTTCACTTTACATCTCTTGTGGAACAGAGTGGTTGAGTTGAATCCGACTATCTTCGAACATTAGCAAAGAATGTCGCATCAACAGTGAGATAGAGACGAAAACATGCCGATCATCAGGAGAATTCACCGATAGATAGCGTCGAAATCGATCCTCTTCTTCATTAGATCTGATCTTTTACAGTGCAATATGACTGAAGAATGAGGTTTTATTTTCGCCAAGATTTATAGTATTCGGTTAAATGCAGGAGATATAATGTTGAATGTTGAATCGAAGAAGTCTGATGAAGAGCGCGGATGTGGGTGTGGATGGTGGGTAGACCCCGTTGGGTCCAGAATTTATGGACCCGGATCCTAGTCCACGATTTTTGGGCCCGGACCCAGATGCGATCATTTAAAATTTTTCTACCCGGACCCGTTTACAGTTTGCTGGACCCGGACCCGAACCCGGTCGCTTAAATTTTTTGGATCCAGACACAATGACAAGTCAGTTTAGATAGTATATTCAAGAAGGGTTTTGTTGTTTTTTATCCATTTTCTAAATACATTTGATTTTTTCTTTGTATAAAACCCACAAAACTTTTAAAAAATTCAAAATAAATTGTATGGATCAAAGTTTCCTTCAGAGCTGGACCTGCCCTGGACCCGGTCAGAGCAAAATTTTCAGACCCAGACCTGCACCCGGGCCCGGTCAAAATAAAATTTTTGGATCCGAACCCGGACCCGCACGGGTCCGGGTCCGGGTCCTACCCGACGGGGTCTAATGGTGGGTGTACGTGAAGCAAGGATCCACTCTTATCTTACTCTCACACGCACATTCATACGCACATCCACACTCACATCCACACTCACATCCATACCTGCACACCCACACTAATCTGCATAGACCGTGATTTTTCATGATTTCTGTACTGGAGAAAAAAATCATTTCAGCGTGTATGCGAAAAGTTTCTTTCAGTAACAGTGTTCTATTGCAAGCTGGTATGTTTTTATTCAGGTATCAAACAATACAACATTTTGTTTTCTTCTACAGTAGTTATAAGAAGTGATCAAATACACTCATCAAATCGTATCGCTTGATATTTAAAAACCGAACCAAGTATCTTCGTATGTAGAAAAATTTTTATATGTGCTTTGCGGTATTCTCTATATCCCTTTACAAATATTGACGCTGGTTTGAATGATAGATAATCTCTCTATTATGCTACGCACAAAATGAGATGGTATCGAATTAAGTAAGATACAATCGCACGTTGTGACAGAACTTATTTAGAGATATTACTGCATGCATAAAACACTTTGGTAAGTACCACATTCGAATCGTTAATAATACAGTTGATTTACTAAACCATTTTTATTTTCAGTCTGCATATTTATACAATCTTCTTACTTTCCAATGTTTTGAGACAAGTAGTTACTGATGATGATTCATTATCTGATAATGTTCTTGGTAAAATTTAGTGGTCAAATCAGAACTGTTGTCGACATGTGTGTGTGAGAGTAAAAGAATCTCTCAGATTTAAAGTAGAGTCGAATGTTTTTAATCGATGCAACGTGAGATTGAAATCTTCTAATTTTTGTCTGTTTGCTGCTCTAATTGATGAAAAAGGAGCATATCTGAAACAAAACACAAAAAACAATATGAAAATGCGTCCTCATGTTTGCAAAATCGTTCAGAAAAATAGAATTCTCTTTCATAAAATATCTCTGTTCTTTTTTGTGTTCTAGCTCTCCTTTCAATTTCTCATGAGATTTTCTACCTTTGCATTTCATAATAGAATAGTCAATACACTTTTACAGAAAATCACATGGAAAATCTTTTTGTAAAAATTGACTCATTTGGGCATGATGAATAAGAGTGAAGTTTAAAATGCTGCTGCTGTAATTATTTGAGAACTACCTGTTATGCATATCTCCATGACATCGATTTAGCTTTCTGAAATACTGCATTCATTTTTCTCTGGTAGGATCGGCCGCTACTAAATTTGCAAATATTGACAAGTTCATCCTAATGATGTTGGAGAAACGCAAGATTCCTGGTATTTCACTTGGTCTTATTCGAAATGGAAAAATAATTCATGCTAGAGGTTATGGCTATTCAAATATTGAGCATCGAGTACCGGTGAAAATAGAAACGATTTTTCAATCTGCATCGGTTGGCAAACAATTCACTTCGATGGCCGTTATGATGCTTGTTGAAAAAGGAAAAATTGAATTAGATAAAACAATAAACTACTATTTCCCGGATGCACCTACTACATGGAACAAAATCACTGTTCGACATCTTTTGACACACACTTCAGGAATGGCTGATTATCTGGCTGATTTAGATTTACGTGCCGATTATACCGAAGAAATATTTTATAAAGAAACTCAGAGAATTCCACTTGTATTTCAACCAGGTGAAGGATGGAATTACAGCAATCTCGGATACGCCATACAAGGATTCTTAATTCGGCGTGTGAAGGGACAATATTTCGGTGATTTTCTAAAAGAAAATATTTTCAATCCTCTCGGAATGACCACAGCAAGGGTAATCAGCGAAGCAGATATAATTCCGAATCGTGCTGCGGAATATATTTTGATTGATGGTGAACTCAAAAATCAGCCATGGGTATCACCAACTTTCAATTCGATGGCTGATGGATCTTTGTACCTAACCGTCTATGACATGGCCAAATGGAATGCAGCACTTTATACTAATCAGCTTCTAAAAAATCAAACAAGTTTTGATGCAATGTGGGGCCATGTTAAACTAAACAATGGTACTGCCTATCCGTACGGTTTTGGTTGGACTTTAAAAGAAGCCCAAAACCGAATGCGCATTGTCGAACATTATGGCATATGGCAAGGCTTTCAATCAATGATTATTCGTGTTTTAGAGGAGAAACTTACAATGGTATTTTTTGCTAATTTGAATGATCAAGACGTGCATGAAATTGCTCGACTTGCATTGGCACTTTATTATGCGCCAGTAAATAACAGATAGATTCTTAATAAAAACAACATATATAATTCATAAGAAACATTCCATCTTGTTAGAAGACTTACTTAGGAGCCATTGTATGATAGAGACAACCAGCCGTGTTCAATTAACACATTCAATCCGATGAGACCCACCGGTGGGTCTCACTATATTTTAACAAGAAACTTAGTAGAAACACACATTCCTTTCCTGTTTTCTTAGGTAGAAGGTTACACGTCATATTTCATCTGCTCTGTCTTCGCAGTTGTTGAAATCATTTATCGCATAGTGTGATACTTCTCGTTAAAACAATCAAGACAAAAAACAGTTGTCACAATCAGAACAGAAAGTTGTTACTTTCTTTTGCTGTCGTACGATTTGCTTCCCATCATTGTTGTTGTCTGATTTGTTCATAGAGGCCAGTACAGCGCCTTCGGACAGCGCACACAGATCATTTCTTTTATTCGAGCTTCTGGTCAGCAAGTTGGGTGTGGGTGTGGGGTGTGGGTGTGAGTGTGGGTGTGTGGGGTGTGGGTGTGGGGTGTGGCTGTGGGTGTGGAATGTGGGTATCTGCATGATGAGAACACTCACACACCCACACCCACACCCACACCCGACACCCCACATTGTACAGATATAAATATAGATGTATATGCTTAATATGAACTGAAATGTTTTGTGCAAATATGATTTTTCTTTTTTGCCAACAATAAACCATCATGTGCTGTTTATCTCGACTGTTTTACTGTTGCTATGTATGGTCCGTGAAAACAAGAGTGCGTAACAAAAAAGAATTCGAAATGAAAAAGAAGGAGGCAGAAAAAATGCGATCGAAATGTTGACATGATGTCAAATACGAAAAAGAAATTATTTCACAAACAACACACTCGTGTCAACTGCACAACATTCGACGAAGTCGGAAGAAACCATCAGTGGAATTGACTGGGTATGGTTGTTTTTCACTATTTGATTATTATGAGCACCTTATTAATGAAATTTCTAAGACAAGAGAATAATTCAAACATGATAAGTAGAGCTGCATAGCATATACACAAGTGACGAGGTTTCGCAGAAAAAGGGTGTGGGGGTGGGGGTGCGAGTTTGGTTGCGGGTGTCGGGTGGGTCTTCTATCCTCTCACACCCACACCCTGTTTTATTCATGACAGGAGACACATGCGAGTAAAAGATTCGTGTAGATGTGAAGATTTAAGTGCTATTTTCCATGAATATATAAAGACAAATGCTAAGTCTTTCTGTCAGAAATGCGTTGTCATAGTAGCATTTTATCATATTTTGTCTGATCTACAAGCAAAACTATACTTATTATTACTTTTGACCTAAAACTTAACGTTATCGTATTCATATCCTAGTGTTCTTTTCTGATTATTTCGAACCAAACGAATTTTTATTGCTTATTTGGCATGTGATTTGAATAGCAAACCAGCTTATGTTGATAAATGTAACAACTCTTATAGGTTTTCCTGCTTTCTTATCTTTTTTAATCGTTGTCGTATAGCTGTACAATTTATTTTCAATTTACTAGTGCAATTAAAATAAAGAATATTGTGCTTAAATAAGGTACATTTAACCCTTTACGGCCGGATATATCCATTTGGAAACATAGTCCCAATGTTTTATAATAGGTTGACTTATAGTGATGATATCAAGGTTTCTGATGACTTGATAATTAAGTTTAAACATTTTAGCACAAACTCGTGTATTTAGAAGAATGAAAAGCTCATTGACTGTAAAAAATTGCTGGTTCCACCGGTAACACTCAAAACGAGCTTCGAAATATAAGCAGTCTTTTTCTATGCCTCTGTGGATTCAATATAAGAGGCAATATATGGTTAATTTTTCTTCGTACATCTATTGAACATTGCACTAATAAATGGTGTTATTCAATAATACTGAACGAAAGAACATGGCATGTATCCATTTGGAAACATCCGGCTGTAAGGGGACAAAAATTTACGGTTTATTTTCCTCTTGCATTTGTCAAAGAAATGAACTTTGTTACATTCTTGTCAGAACGGATCTATTATTACGAAAACAAATACCTGTCTACCTAATATTCTTTTTTATCCTAACACTGATATAACATAATGACAGGTATTCTTTCCATCTATATCATCTTACATTCTGTCATGATGCACAAGTGCATATGCCAACATGTTTTCTTCTTAGTATGCTTAACCATATTCATATCTTTTCCCATTTGCATACACAATTGTTCTTTTCTTTCTCTTTGACTATTGATAAATTTTTTAATCTGACTGGAATATTTTCTCTCTTGCGCTACAACGTTTATTTATTGCAATGACAAAAGGAAAGAAAAGAACAATATTGTAGTACATTGTTCATCTCATCACTTATAATTTTGTACCGATAAGTGCATTGTGCACAAGTAATAAGAATCATCTATAATCTTACTTCATTTTGAATCATCCTTTTTATTGATAATGCCGAATACACGAAGTTCTAATCATTATATTGTCATTTCTAATGGACTAAGTGAAGAAGAAACGGACACATCCGAGTTAGAAGATGACATTGGTGCTGTTCAACATATTTTACACGATAAATTAACAATCAACGAAGACAATTCATCTAGTGAAGGAAGTGATGTTGAAGAAATGGTAAGAGATCCACCATCAAAAAGAAAAAAGCAATTACATTGGAAAAAAAAGATTTTGAAGCTCCAGCAGCAGAGTTTAGTGGAACTTTGCCACCACCACCAATACATGAAGAGTTAGAACATGTTGATTACTTTTATTCTATGTTTGGCAAGGAATCTATTACACTTATGACAAATCAATCAAATTTATATTCTACACAGATGAATCCAAATAAACCACTTTGTGTTTCTGAAAACGAAATGAATCGTTTTATAGGTATATTATTAATGACTGGTGTCTATTCATTTCCACAACAGCGTTATTTTTGGATGAATACTACTCGTGTTGAATCTATAACCTCAGCTATGAGTAGAGATCGATTTTTACAAATCAAAAGAAATATTCATGTTTTTGATAATACAAATCAATTAGATAGCAATGATCCGAATTTTGATCGCGCGTACAAAGTTCTACCATTATTAAATATTGTTAAAGAAAATTCACGCAAAATTCCAAAAGAGGAAAAATTAAGTGCAGATGAACAAATTATACTTTTCAAAGGACGAAGCATCATGAAGCAACACATGCCAAAAAAACCACTCCGTTGGGGTTATAAAATGTTTATATTAGCTGGTAATGGTAGTGGATTATGTTACGATTTTATCTTTTATACAGGTAAAGAAGGTAAGTCTGTACATGGACTTTGTACACAGATTGTTCTTGATCTTTGTGAAACAGTACCAAGATCGATAAATCATAAGCTTTTTTGTGATAATTTTTACACTACAATCAGATTACAAGTGGAGTTGCACAAGCTTGATATTTATGCTGTTGGTACGGTACGACCAAATCGATTACCTGGTTTAATTATGAAAAACGAAAAGGATTTATCACGTGAGGGACGTGGTGCTATGGACCATCGTGTTGCAGAAGTTGATGGCGTTCAAATTTGTGCAGTGAAATTGTACGATAATAATATCGTTAACTGCCTATCAACATTACATGCTTGTCATCCAGTCGATTTTGTTCAAAGATGGTCAAACAAAGAAAAAAAAACATATATTAGTAAAAAGACCAAATATTATAAAAGCTTATAATCAGCATATGGGTGGAGTAGACTTGCTTGATATGTTGATCTCGCTCTACCGTGTTAATGTTCGCTCAAAAAAATATTATATTAAAATTATTCTTCATCTGATGGATTTATCTTTAGTGAATGCTTGGCTCCTTTATCGTCGCCATTCTTCACAACAGAAAATTCCAAAAAGAAGCATAATGTCTTTACTAACATTTCGTGTCAACGTAGCTCAAGCTTTGCTTCAATGTAATCCACCATCATCACCAACAGTCAAACGTGGTCGTCCATCATTAAAATCAATAATAAGTGACCAAACATCTCCGAAATCATCTAGAGCTACACCAAATCCACTACCATCAAAAGATATTCGAATGGATAGATTTGACCATTGGCCGATTCACATAGATAAAGGCCGCTGTCGAAATCCTGATTGTACTCGTCAGACACGAATATCATGTTCAAAATGTAAATTACGCCTTTGTTTGAATGATAAAAATAATTGTTTCATTGAGTATCATAATGAAGTAATATTTTTTCCCTCAAAACAGTTCTTTCTGGTTGTTGTTATTGATTTTCTTATGTGCCTGTCTTTTTGCTCTTTATCTATTTATATCTCGTATTCTTGTACAAATTGCATAAATGAATGAAAAACCACAAAATATTGCATTTTTATAGACGAAAATAAAAAGACAAAATTTATAAAACTTTGATCCCTTATGGCTGGATGTATCCATTTGGATACATCAAGTTTTTCGATACCTAAAGACTTTTTAATAACGAGAAATGAACTTTTTCTATCTACATAGTCTAAGAACAATAAAAATACTCGAAAAAAATTTTTTGCTATATGTCTTCTAGTAGCCGGCCGGAAAGGGTTAAAAGAAAATACATCTTATTCAGAAAATAAAATATAAAGCGTCGTGCAAGTATATTAGAAAAAGGATAAAAGGGGTACCCCATGAACTTTTCAAATGACATATTTTTCCTAAGTTCCCGAGCATAAAAACTGAAGAACTTTTTTTGCTATGAATTGCATGCGCTTATATGTGTCTGAAGTTACATTTTTTTTTCGCGCACCTCCATACAAAATTTGAAAAGACTACACCTATCATGCATGTACATGCAGATAGAACTGTTGCGCTTACATACAAATCATATTTCTTGCACAAATTTGCAAGAATACAGCTGCCGAGTACATGCATCAAGGGGGAAAAAGCAGATTTTAACCCTTGAAATCTTTGGAAATCTTTAGAAATCTTTAGGAATCTTTGGAAATCTTTGGAAATCTTTGGAAATCTTTAGAAATCTCTAGAAACCTTTAAAATCTTTCAGAGTCTTTCAGAATCTTGAAATCTGTTTTTTCCCCTTGATGTACAGTAGATGAAATTACAGGTATAAATGAAAAAAAAACGAAACTGTCAAATAGAAAATAGTCACACTTGATTGATTCAGGTTGTGTGTGTTAGATGATGACAAGAAAGGATAAAGCATCCATCATTTGGCATACATGTAATACTTGAAACTTGAATTCAAGTATTCAATTATTGAATAGTTGAAGTTTCAACTATTCAACTCTTCAAGTATTCAATAATTGAATACTTGAAGTTTCAACTATTCAAGTATTCAAGTATTCAAACTTTAACTTTTCAAGTGTTCTGCGAACATGCAGTGGGGAAGCGCGTTTCCCCCACATAACACACCTTTTATTTCATCGCCGCGGCGTGGGGCGCGAAGCGCCCTCCGAAGAGCCGCGATCCATGCACGTCTCTGTGTACACCATTATTCCTACTCAGTGCTGCACATTAGCTCAAGCTTCTCACATCCTTCTTGCAGCATCCCAGCTAATGTCTGCAGCATCTCAACCAAAACCTGAAGTGTCCAACGAAATGCTTGGAGCATGCTAGGGATGATTGTATCATCCTAGAAACTGCTTGTAGCATACTAGGGGATGCTTGTAGCATACCAGGGGATGCTTGTACCATAGTAGGGGATACTTGTAGCATACTAGGGGACACTTGTAGCATACTAGCGCAGAGTTGTAACCGGTAGGGTTTTTTCCTTACCGATACCGGTACCGGTCTAACTGGTCAGACCGGACCGGACCGGCCGGTATACCGGCATAAATTATTCTTCTGTTTTCTGACCTAATAACACTCAAATCAACACCTAGATGAGTCATATATTCCTTCTAATCACTACAGCTATGATATAAAAGTACGATTTCGCCACTGCAGTGCTTTTTACTATTTGCTTTCATATGTTTTCTGTTTCTCGATATCTATTGGTGAGCACAAAAGTTCATACGACCATAAATTCTATGTTAATTTTGCACTTTGATCAACTACTCATCAAATATGGGCTCTATTTATTGCTCGTATACTATACTCGCTTTGTCATCTTTCGTGTCTGCGAGGACTATATGCAATAAATAATAGAAAATACGAATAAATCCATGATAAACTACAATGCTAAACAATTAATCATTTGATTTTATTTCAACAACACCCATGTGGTTCCGGAAACGGCATTTTGTCGGTTAAAACAGTTTTTATTGGCCAATACTACCGTTTATCATACTTAAACGTCGTTTCAGAACAGAAAATAGCTGGAAATTGACCTTCGTAAACGCTACGGAAATGTTTTTGTGTGCACTCGAGCTTATATACACATAATAACATTTCTGTACGGTTTACGAAGGTCAATATCCAGCCATTTTCTGTTCTGAAACGACGTTTAGGTATGATAAACGGTAGTTTTGGCCAATAAAAACTGTTTTAAATGAAAAAGCTGTTAGCGCAATCCCTTGCGGGATTAAAAGTGTGAAACACGATACAGCTGCTATAGCCGATGTTCTAAAACCTGTTGTTTTTTATGCATACTGAGGTACATTTCTTCATAATGGTTTACCTTACATTATAGACTTTCAATAGGATAATACTCCATATATGCTCCAAGCATATGTGAGTTACGCATCATTTCTGATATTTCTTTGAAGTCTTCTATCACAGTCTATAATGATCGCTGAGTCCTGGCTGTCACGGTCTGTGATGGGTCCAGAGCCCTGTCTGTCACGGTCTGTAATGGGTCCAGAGCCCTGTCTGTCACGGTCTGTGATGAGTCCAGAGCCCTGTCTGTCACGGTCTGTGATGGGTCCAAAGCCTGTCTTTCACGGTCTGTGATGGGTCCAAAATCCGTCTGTCACGGTCTGTGATGGGTCCAAAGCTCTGTTTGTCACTTTTTATACAGATTCTATTTACTATTCGGGATGCAAAATCATCCCGAAAAAACTGAAATATCAAGAGCTCTGTGAGAAACGATAGTTTACAACTGAGACTAGTTTTGTAAAATCTAAAAAAAATCAAGGGGAAAAAAAGCAGATTTGGAATTTTGGAATTATTTCGGATTTCGTTGGTTTTTTTTAGATTTTTTGGATTTTTTGGATTTCTTTGGGTTTTTTGGATTTTCGGATTTTCTTGGATATTCCGATTTTTTCGCGCTGTTTTGAGTTTTTAAGGTTTTTCTCAGTTGTTTTGTTTGATATTAGATTAATTTCAACCTACCATCACCACTTCTTTTCATATGAGCTACCTCATAGCTTCCTACAGCTACTCAGGGTATGTACTTGAAGCCTCTGAAGGCCTACCATACGATCGAATCAACAGGTCCTCAACAATTATCCTATGGAAGTACCCATTAGTCCTCATGGCCTAGCCTATAGTGGTAGGCATAAGTCCTCATGCCTTATCCTATAGTGGTACCTCGAAGTCCTCATGGCCTATCCTATAGTAGTACCCATTAGTTTAGATGGCCAATTGATGTTTGGAATAGTTACATTTCCAAATACTGTCTTATAGTAGTTCTGCTTCCTCTTCAAGGGCTCTTCCGTAGAGGAATGTTGAGTACCGCTAATTGGTCAAGAAATATCTAACATTAGTCGTCGTAGTTTTTCAAGAGCTTTTAGGCGCAGGGTGAGTAACTGTTACATGGACGCCATTCGTCCGTCATCCACTAACTAGATATTAATGCAGTATGAAATACTCGTTTAAGAGTCACATAACAATCGTGTATTTGATTTTTCCGTTAAGAAGTAAAAGTGGACTCTTCTTTTCAGGTTGCGTAATTGAGGAAAGTTATGAAGTGGTTTTACTTCACAATTAGTATTATTTCAAGGCCATTGCATTTGACAAATTGGGCTCAACTTTGAATTTCTCTTTAATCCATATAGATTGAACCTTATGTGCATCACAACTCCAATTCCACAGCTCGCAAGAGCTCAGTCAAAGAGCTGGTAGACAGCATCAGCTCAGCGAACTGAACCAGAGCTGTCACAAATCTACTTATAGGTACCCCTATAGAACAGCTTTGAGGACCTATGAATACGTCCATAGGATAGGCGATGAGGACATATGGTTACCTTCATAAGATAGCTTCTCGGGGCTTACGGGTATCCCATAAGATAGGCTATAATGACTTATGAGTACGCTTATAAGATATGCGTTGAAGACTTATGAATACCCGCATAGGATAGCTCTTGAGGACTTATTGTATTTCCGTAGGACAGGTCATGAGGACTTATGAGTACTCGTCATAGGATAGGCCTTAAGGAATTGTGGATATTCTATAGGATAGACGATCATGGCTTATGAGTACACTCATAGGATTTCCCTAAAGCACTGATCGGTAACCCATAATATAGGCTTTGAGGACTTATGTGTACCTCCATAGGATACGTCTGGTGGAGTTATGAGTATCCATATGATAGGCGATGATAACTTATGGATACTCTCATAGGATAGGCATTGAGGACTTATGGCACTTCCATAGAATTCGTCATTAGAACTTATGGGTTTCCTATAGAATGCATCGTTTTCCCGGAATTCCCATGGTGCTGCTTGGATTTCAAGGATTCCCATTGTACTTATTGAAATGTGAAATCTCATGAATTCATCCCCTAGTCGAGAATCTCCTTACGAATCTCCGGGGAGCCCCTAAGAAAAATCCCTGGGTACTCACGACAGGGTGACCCCGGAAATTTACGAAGCAGTCAAGAACTCTCCGCGGATTTACGTGGAAGTCCCTGGGGATTTGCAGGGACTCCCCAGAAATATACGATGAGACTTACGACGACTGTAAACGATCATATACGACGTTTTTATCATAATATCTACCCCTAGTGAAATCTCATTATAAAGTCCCCCTCGAAATCTCCAGGGAATCACGACAGGAACTCCCCCAGGAACCGAGGGGGAGTGTGGGACTCTCCATTGATTCATTTGAGGACTGTCGACTAGGGACCGTTTCTTATATTTGTAGCAGCCTTTAAAACTGGTTATCTATGTCCGACGCACGTGAAAATATGACCAGAGTATGTTGTTGAAGACTACTTTAGATTTTGGGTTTTTTGGATTTTTTGGACTTTTTGAAATTTTTTGGTTTTTTTGGGATTTTTTCAGATTTTTTGGGATTTTTGAGATTTTTCCAGATTTTCTCAGATTTTTTTGGATTTGTTCGGATTTTCTCGGATTTAAGATCCAAAAAAAACCCACTTTTTCTCCCTTGTCACAAACTCATTTTATCTTAAACGACTCTCTCTACAATGGACGGATTAAGTTGTATAACAACGCATATAAAATGAGACTGAGCAAGTTCTCAAACAGAGATTTATTAGAGCACGCAGATTTTCTTTAAGGCCCCCCCCCCCACTCAAAAAAGTCAATTTTCGTCAAAAATTTCGAAATTGAGATAAATGCATGGAAAGATAGCCCGTCTTCAGATCTTTCAAAAACGGCATTGGTTTTTCTTTGGCATCTCTTGTTTGGCCAAGATTTTCGATGATTTTCATTGACCTCTTCTTGAAAAACATGCTTATTTTAAAAAAAACGAAAAATGTTTTTCGTTTTTTCTCGATTTATGA